TTGCTGTTGCGATCTTGTGGAGGGGAGACGTTTCTAGTTTTCAGTGAAAATTATTAATAATTACATCATTTTGTCCTCAGAATAAAAAATAACGAAATCCGTCTTGTTATGAAAAATCGTTGTTTGCGTGAGATTGCACCCGGGAAAACCAATGGTTGATTGAGATCGTCAAATTAATTACACTAATCCAATTAGGTTTTATCAGTGATTATTAAAATGAATTAATGTACTCATTTTCAATATCTAAAACTAATTGATAATTAAAAAATTAGAAATGTGCCATTTGCACGTCATTTTGATTTTATATTGAGAAGTTTCTAGTTTTCAGCGAAAATCATTAATCATTAAAGTATCCTTTTTTTTTACAAAACACCTTATTGAAAATTCATCAACTTATTTCGTCATTAGAATAAAAACAAAGAAATACGTCGTGTTATGAAAAAAATCGTTGTGTACATGAGATTGCGCGCGGGGAAACGAGTCGTTGATTATGATCGGATAATTAATAACACTAATTGATAATCAAATTAGGTTTCTCTAATCATTAATAATTGAATTGATTGATTAATTAATTGATTAATTTTCAATCATCAAAACTAATTGACAATTAAAACTTCAGCGATGTTTAAGGTAAAAGTCAACACTTTACATTGAGGTTTGTTGTTGCGATCTTACGGACGGGGAAAAGTTTCTAGTTTCCAGTGAAAATCCCAAGTTTTTCCTTTTGTTTAAAGGCCCTTTATTGGAAATTCATTAAATTATTTCATCATGGGAATAAAAATAAAGAAATACGTCTTGTTATGAAAAAATCATTGTGTACATGAGATTGCACTTGGAGAAACGAGTCGTTGATTACGATCATAAAATTAGCACCACTAACTGATAATTAAAATTTTAAAGATGTTTTATTTAAACGTCATTTCATGTTGACGGGGAAAAGTTTCTAGTTTCCAGTGCTAATTCTAGTTTCCAGTGTCTTTTTTTTACAAAACCCTTCATTGGAAATTCGTCAAATTATTTTATCCTGGGAATAAAAATAAAGAAATACGTCTTGTTATGAAAAAATCATTGTGTACATGAAATTGCACTTAGGAGAACGAGTTGTTAAGATCGTAAAATTAATAACACTAATTGATAATTAAAACTTTAGAGATGTTTCATTTGAACGTCATTTTGATTTTATGTTGAGGTTTGCTGTTGCGATCTTACGAAGGGGGAGAAATTTCTAGTTTCGAGTGAAAATCACTAAATTTTCCCTGTTTTTTTTTCAAACAAAAGCCTCGATTGGAAATTGGTAAAGTCAACTCAATGATAGTTTTGTTGGAAATTGCTAAGCTCATTTATTTGAATGAAAATGTTTTGATTATCGGAAACAAATTTATGCATTTATTCCGAATAGATTCTCTACCAGAACCAAATAAACGATTTATTGGAGCCAAATAGAGGATTATTACATGTTAATAAATTCGTTCTCCCCGCCGTCGAACAATGATTCTATTTCCAGCTAATAATGTCTTTATTTGGATCAAGGAAACATTTGTTTTCAATCGAATAAAAATCAGCACTTGAATTGACCCACATTTTGGTTTTAAATCCAGACAATTTGGTTCTTTAAATTAAGGATAATATTGTTTTTAAATTGATGATTTTTTCTGGTCTCAAATTGATAATTTATAACGCCTTCATTATTAAAAGTATATACTGACACCTTGATTCAATAAATATTTAATTAATGTTCGATTCATTCTGAACTTTAACAAATGTTTTTAATTTACGAACTCGCTTTTTTTCGTTCTCTTCTTCGTCTAGACAATTATTTCGTTTTCAACTAATAAAGGGTTTATTTGCGTCGAGAAAACCTCTGTTTAAAATTGAATAAAAATTGGTACTTAAATTAACTCACATTTTGGTCCTTAAATTCAGAACATTCGGTTCTTTAAATTTTAATTATTTTCGTTCTTGAAAACTGAGATGAGGATTTTTTTCTTCTAAAATTTATAATTCTATCTGAACGTAATTTATAAGTCTTTCGTTATTTAAAGTAAATCATTTAACAGCTTGATTCAATTAATGTCAAATTAATTTTCAATTATTTCTGTACTTTATCCAATATTCTTATTTTATGAACTCGGCATTTATTATTTTACAATAATCTTTCATATTAAATAAATAAGTATTTGGTACTAAATTCTAGACTTTTTTTCTGCATTGAATAAACAGTGTATGAAAACTATTCATTCTTGGTTCTTGAATTCTTACCATTCAAGTTTTTAAATTGAGAAACTTCTCGTTCTCGAAATGACGATTTTTCCTGTTCTAAAATTTATAATTCTACCTCAACCTAATTTACAACTCTTTCGTTATTAAAAGTACACCACCTGACACCTGGATTCAATTAACATCTAATTTACGACCAATAGATTCTGAACTTTACCACATGTTCTTAATTTAAGGAGTCGCCATGTCTTATTTTGCAAACATCTGTCACTTTTAAAAAGTGCGTATTTAATAATAAACCAAAAAATTCTCGAGATTTTTCTTCTGAAATTGATTAAATAGTTCTTCATAGTTTCTTAAAATCCGTAACTTTGTTCTGGAACCTAGAACCTCTTTTTCCGTGCTTAATGAGATTTTTCGGAATCAATTTTACGTAATTTCGCCAATGGGCGTGTGCGGCCAAACGGGAAATTAACAGTAGCATCTCGCGCCATTCCTAATGCACTCACCCAATCCCTCTCATTTCCGCTAACACACACAGCTCCGTGAACTCCACGCAACTATAAATTTAATAAAAATCTATCGTCGATCTACATGACCCCTCAGCTTGAGGAATACTAATTTATTATCCAATGGACTTAAACCCCACTCTCAATAGCAACCGGTTTTCTTATTTGTTAATCGCAAATTGAGCGGATTCCATACTGAACGTAGCATCCTACCCCACTAAATACTTGCATCATATCCATAAAACTCCAATAAAACAAATCTACTTTTTTCTAAAAAAAACAAATTTACATTCCCATGTGCATTTACCATCATTTCGTTTTTATCACAAATATAAAATGCGTACTGCCAATAATAAATAAACAGAGAGTACAACCCTGCGAACGTGAGCATTTCATCACTTGCGATTTACGTAAGCAACAGTAACTGAAGCGCGAAGGAAAAAATGAAAAAAAAATGGGAACTCCTCTTTGAGGAAGAAGCTTCGGCCCCCGCGATTTACGATCGAAATCGCAGGTTCACCGAATGAATCCACATTTCCTCCTGTCAGAACCGCGTCAGTATACTCACTAAAAAATGATTTTTTTTCAATCGAAAATGTGGATAACGAGCAGGTTAAAACCAATCGGTCGCTCTCTCCTCGGGTGTTAAAGAAAACCACGAATATTACCGTTAATTATTATTATTACGTGTAACTCATGTGTTGGGCATTATTAACAGCCTTGCTTTTCATTATTTCGGAGAGTTAAATACATACGAGCTCACATCCATTAACCGGTTGTTAATAAAACAAGCGGGGGAAAAACTGCGGCAGAAGTAAATAACTTTGCAAAGTTAACTCTTGTGAAAATGATTTGGATGTAAAAACCTATGAAAAAATATAACTGTATTCAACGATAATGTCTTCATAAAAATTACCGACAAAAGGAATTTCAATCAGGATAAATTCATCAAAATTAACTGCAACGGTTAATGGAAATATTCAGATTTTATTGAAAGAATGGAAAATTTTTTGTCATCAAGCCTTCATTCTATTCGGGAACTTTTCAAGATTATTTTTGCAAAAGTGAGAATATACATATTTTATTGACATCTCATTTTAGTAGTACTGTTACCAGAGGAACAAAAAAATCAACGAAAATTTACGAGAAAAATGAAGGAAACGTATGAAGTAAAAATTGTTTTCGGAGAATTTTCATGAAAAAATCGCTGATTTTTTTAGGAATATCTCCGAATCTAAGGGAGATAACGAAATTTTCATAATAAGCATTTTTGTAGAGCGAATTGAGGGCTACAAAAAAGTTTATGACAAAAATTTTGCCATCTCCCTTAGATTTTAAGATATTTATAAAAAACTGGCCAATAGTTAAAATCGACTTAAACCGTTTTACCGCTTTGCTACTGAATTACGTTTTGAAAATTCATAATAGAATTTCTATTACATCACTAGCATCACATACATCAAACGAGCGTAAAAACATTTTTAATTATGCAACAAAATTCTATTTTTCGAATGATTACGTGTGACTAATTTTTTCCCAAAGGCCTTTGTCGCAGTTTTTCATTGAAAGTTTCCCCATCAAGTTATTCATTACCGGAGCCAAAAACCCGTATAAAATACGTAAAAATTGCCGCTCATGTCTGGATCATTGTCGCTCGCATACCTGACGTCCCTCGATCGTGCGAGCGTTCCTCACCCATTTGCCTCATTTCCATTTTTTTCCATTTTCCTCTATTCATCATTACTCAGACACGCACGGTAGGGGGCGGAGATCACGCACAGCATTGCCGTAATAGTACAAACACTCCCACGTGTTGCATTACCCACGAGAGGATGCAAATAAAATGCCTAAAGTCGGCTCGAAAAATTATTCCGCCAAACGAGAATCACTGAGGTAAATGGTCCCCGACGATATGTATCAAACTTGCGAAATTTCACTTCGAGAAAGCACTGGTTCAAAGAGGCCTAATTGATCCCAGTCTCCACGACGCGCAGATATAATCCGATTTTTCCCTGAATATTGCGCACTGGTATGTCATGCTGATCACTCGTTAAAACCAGAAAATAGCGATAAATCGGGGAATATTAAATAGGTATTAAACTGGTCGAGAGCCCAGAGGTTTTATCATTCTAGTTGGATAAAACTTAACGTATTGGTCAATGGAGATAATAACTAGTAATAAATAAATCCGCAAATTTAATGGTTTCAGCAATATTTACCGAGGATTTATTTCCCGGGAATACACGTTAACCGATAAATCATTTGATCTTCCAGATTGCCATAATTGTCATAGCTCTCGCCATCATGTCAGGTGCACTGGCACAGGATTACAGCCAACTATTCGCTGGCTTTGGACCGTACCTGCGCGCTGCATCACCAATGAGAGATCCACGATCCAATCGAGGCAAGTAACACCGAAAAACCGTTAAATCAAAGCTGAATCTTCAATCTCAACGATTAAAGCAGTGATGTCTGCGACGGGTTTTGAAATTTATGGTCTCGTATAACTTCCGGAGTGAATGTCTTCATCAGTACTTTCTCTGATGTATCTCTTCAGCTACTTGCAATTCAAATGTCTGGCAATGACGGCTATGCAAACACGTTTGTAAGTCGAATTGAGTCAATTTACAATTTCTCGATACTTAGCACTAAAGTAGGTGCTGAGTGCAGGGAGTAAGTAGATCATCAGGTTGAATAATATACATTTGTAATCTTGGGCAGTCGATCGATGACCTTTATGCTTGATCAGACGGAATGCTGCTGGAACTATTATCTCTCTATCATTATTTCTGGTTACTTTTTTACTGTCTTCTTTTTATGCTGATGGCGGCTGTTCAAGGCCACCTGTACTTACACTGCTGATAATGTAGCGATGATCGGTGAACTGTGAAAATACGCTTTTGCAGATCGTTCCTCTTGATGGGTAACTTAATTTTGAAGCGGCTGGGGCGGCAGTTTGTCATGCGACTGTAACTCTTTGGGGTGAACTAAATGCACAGTTGTTTTTTCGATCGTTTCCAAACTTTATAACATATGAAGTCAATTGCATGATGTTTCGAATGCTCAAGGCACTCTTCTTCAGCCGTTTAATACTACATTTGAATCAAAATTTAAAATATACAAAATCAAATCAAAATGTTCCAACAGATATTTGAAGAATTACCGTAATCTGTTGTCCATTCGATTCTGTTTCAACTTTATCAATTAATATTGCCCTATTTCTCTTTATCATCATTGTTCATTACTTTCTTAGTATCTTCTTTTTATCCTGATCTGTGCTACTCAAGGCTAGCCGTACTTACCTTGCTGATAATAGAGAGATGATCGTTGAACTGTGAAATTACGGTTTTACAGATCGTTCCTCGCGATGAACAGCTTAATTTTGCAGCGGTTGTAGAGGCAGTTTACCACGGGACTGTGAGTCTTTGAGGTGACCTAAATGCAAAACGATTTTTTCGATCGTTTCCGTGTGAATAACACTAATAGTAGGTTTAGACAATATTCCGTTTATTTCAAGGACAAGTCTAAACTCCACACAGAATGAAGTAAATTGCACGATGTTTCGAGTGCTCAATACACTTTTCTTCAGGTGGTTAATGTACTTTTTTGTCACTCACTTCGTGAAGCCTCGCTGCGCGCATTAAAACCCCGCTCACGAAAGTCGCGCCAAAAAATATGCTTCATTGCTTCGTTGCAGGACGGGTTGAAGAAAAGAAAAAAAATTATTCACAACAGTGAAGAAGAATACTACGAACTTAAATTTGAAGAATGCAACCCAAAATCAAATATTACAGCAGATATGTAAAGAATGAATGGAATGACTTCTTCCTGTCGCCAAGCATCATTTATTGTACATCTGATTCTCTTTCGAATTGATCATTTACCACTTTACTGATGTTGGTTGTCGCATGAAGTTGAAACAAGCGAGAGATTCGACAGCAGAAGATTTGTCTTCGGCGAATCTAGGGATGTACACATTTTTTAAAGTAATGTACAGACTCTTTCGAACTTGAAAAACAGTTGAACATATGATTATTTGACTCTTCTACACTTAAATATCCCCTAACTTGAATTTTCAGCTTCATGATTATCGCTAAATTGTTCCGATGTTTTAAATATTTATTGTATCATTGCAGGTCCCGTGCTGTTCCCAGTGGGACCCCCCGGAAATCCAGCCGATACCAGTGGTGTCATAGTTGGCGCGAGTGGATTTGGATTCGTACCACCCAACTCAGGTAAAGGAGCCGCTGGTCGATGATAATTAGTCCCTTATCATCGATTTCACCGACGTATTGGGATCGGAGGAGTCCCTTGCACCTCATGTATATAGAGACCCTAGACAATGACAGGTGTCTGGATTAGTTACCACCAACAATCACCCCCATTTGTCCTTTAATAATTCACCACCATACCGAGAGAATTATCACAATAAACTATTTATGTCTCACGTATTGATTAACATGCCTGAAAGAAAATTTGTTCAAAACCCAATTGCAAATACCCCGATGACCTATTCCTGGATGATTAATTAAGGTGTTCAGGGCTGTGTGATGAATAAAAATATACGAACCTTGTCTACTACCTCCTTGATCCTATCCTCGTGATAAACCGAAATACAAATTTCCTTGATCTGTTGAATCTGTGTATGGGCTGTTGTGGGTTTAAAAATTGGATGTGAATGCATACCACTCAGGCACCTTGACTCTAACCGCAGAAACATGTGTTGTTAATGTATTAGTACTTGTCTCGGTAGTTTATCCCCAACCGTGGAATTCCAGTCCTCATTGGGTGATAACTGAAGAGGTTGCGATGAACTAATTACACACCACCTTGATTCTTACGTGTCTCCCACTGCCAAGTGACAATTCTCTGAATGTTTTACACTAATAGGTTAATCACCATTTGGGAAAATACTGAAGGTTGAACAAAAACTGACGTAGTTTATTTGAACATCAGTTTCCGGTTTGTCTAGTCGGCTCTGGTGTATGCATGTCCTGTCAAAATTGACCACCAACTAGCATTAGTCTGCATGATAAACATTTACGTAGCATTGCTTCCGGCTGTTGAAGGCGCAAAAGAGGGAAAGTGTTGTTTTTTTTTTGTCGTCTAACCCTGGGGGCATCAAAAACTCGTTCTCAAGAGTATTCACGACCTTCCTCAGCCTCTAGACTTTAAACGCCCAAGCGTAACGGGTTACATTACGGAGGTCGTAATGGAGCACTGACAAGGACGTTTCCAACTTTGGTGACCTCGCGGTGAGGCACAGATGCCTCTCGGCAAATTAGAGAGCAACGATCCCCGCTTGAATCAGTCTCAGGGTCAAGATCAGGGAGAAGGAAGTGAAGATTGTTGAGTACAATGCGTTTGATCGTGAATAGATTCATACAGAAAAAAAATGGGAAATTGAGAGCTACACTTCCTAACATTGGAATATCGCTCTTGATTTTCGAAAAATATTCTTGATTTGAGAACAATTTCTTAGCGAAGGTTGCAGATGGTGACCTTGAAAAAACGGAGAAATTTCAGCCCAAAATGAAAAAAAAAAAAAAGTTTTACCCCAGTAATTGGAGGACTAATTGCGCAGAGAAAAAATGTTTCTGGTTTCCAGTGAATTTTTTTTGAAAATCAGAAAACAGTTCTAGATCTCAATAGTATTTATTCAAGTATAGGACCCATGGTACTTAAATCAAGGTATTTTGGGTTCTTAAAATAAGAACCGTTGGGAATTGGAATCAAGAATCCTGGGGTTCGTAAAATAAATCCTGGAGGTTCTTAAGTGGACATTCGTGTCTCTTCAAATTATCCTAATTAATTTATACTGCGACATTGTTTTTGTACATTCGTAAAGAATGCATGTTAGAAACTAGAGTTTCTAAAATCCATAATTTTTTTCTCTATAAAGTCATTATATTCTCAAACAATGAAAATCATTCTTCAATCAAGAACAGTGTTCTCACTTCCATAACCATAATTTTTCATTAAAAAAAATTCTCTTTATTGCTTCAAAGATTCCGTTATTGTTCGAAATCAGAAACAATTACCACCCAAGCGTTTTAATCGTCATATTACGCGATTATTGTCAGGTGTTAAAACGATTGAAGAACCACAATTTTTATATCAAGACACTTGCACTAATCACGTGGACGTCTGAGTAAGGCATTCCAAGTTAACGATCAGACACGTTCCTTACGTGATCTTGCAACTGTCGCATTCATTGAGTAATCGCTTACAATCTTGTTTTACCATTTTTTTTTCATGCGTATTTCTCTCCTGTTGTGATCTCTTGCAACTGCCGTCAAGGTTTTGAAGCTGTTATCAATCATTGGTTGACCTTGAATCGTTTATTTATGTTTCAGGCTTCTTCGCTTATTACTTTTAGAAGGAATGACGGATTTTAGTCGAATCGACGGTGAGGAACATCGATAATCGCGCAATCTGCTGTTGCGGTGGACATTCAAATGGTCATGGTAATATCGGTGACCTTGAGACTGACTTATTCGTTGGCCTTGAGAGTAATTTAGTGAATATTTTCATTCATCTGACACTTTTGAGACGAGAAAATTCCTGGTTGATGACTATTGTGCAATAATTTATGTGAGTTTAGAGAGGAGCGACATCGGTTTTTATATGGTGAAGAGATCGAGGATTGTCGGGCATCCCAAGGTGACATTCTATAGGTTAATATGTGTACACAGTGTGTCGAGATGTTTAAACACTTGAGGTTCTATATATTTTTTTTATGGTTTCTTTTCCTGTTTTCATAGGCAATATTCTCAGTCTGGTAACGATTTTGTTACCGTCGACAGGTGTTCGCGCAGTCGCTTGAAAGAAAGCCATTGTCGAAGTCATTTCACTGATGTCGAAAAAAAAAAAATGTTTTTGTTGAAATACCCGTTTTTCTATGACTTCATCGGTGGATTTCCTTCGCGATTCAATCTAGACGATTTAACATGTAACAACTATTTATTTCTTACTCAGTAATAGAACCGAAGTACCTTAACTCCAGATGTTAATAGATAGTTTTAATTTTTCAAACAAAATGTATCCATTCTTTAATATATTTCTAATAATTTTGTAATTAATGTCAGGATGTAGTGTGTGTTCAAAGATATAAGAGATGTGTGTTGAAAGAAACAAATTGTTTTATTTTTACCAATAAAAATTATCTTTAATGTTGAGAGAAATTCATTTTTTCACGAAATTTTTAACCTACCTGCATTAACCGTTAACCAACTCTCACGTGCAATTATAATATTATATTTTTTTCTAGGGAATTGTCTAGCGAGTTCGCTAGGCTGTTCTTTTAAATTCTTTCGTGCGTGATTGCTCGCGTTTGAATGTTTAAAAAGAAATTTAATAAAAAATTAATGGCAAAATTTATTAATTAATTTTCATTACAAATTTAGATTTAATGAGGATTAATCATCAAATAATTAATTATTTCATTTTAATTTACATTGAATTAATTAATTAATTAAATATCCACTGGAAATTTTTTTTTTTAATCAGCAGATTTTTGGTACAAATTATTCTGTGGAGATTATTAATTAATGTTATGATGTAGTTTGTGTTTAATGAAATAAGAGATCAGTGTTGAAGAAAGAATTAAATTGTTTTATTCATACCAATAAAAGTTATTTTTAATATTGAGAGGAATTCATTTTTTCACTAATTTTTTAACCTACCTGCTTCAACTGTTGACCAACTCTCACGCGCAATTATAATATTGGCAGCTAATTGTTCAGCGAATTCGCTACATTTTTCCATTAAATTTTTTTCCTGCGTAATTGCTCGCGTTTTAATGTTTAAAAAAAATGGATAAAAAATTTCGGCCAAAATTAATTAATTAATTTTCATTAGAAAATTTCCATTTAATGAAAATTAATCATTTCATTTTAATTTTCACTTAATTAATCACCTAATGAAATGTCCAATGGAGGATATTTTTTTGGAAAAACGGAAAATTTGTTGGTACAAATTATTCTGTTGAGATTATTAATTAATGCCATGATGCAGTTTGTGTTTAAAGAAATAAAAGATGTGTGTTGAAGAAACAATCAAATTGTTTTATTCTTACCAATAAAAATTATCTTTAATGTTGAGAGAAATTCATTTTTTCACGAAATTTTTAATCTACCCGCATTAGCCGTTAACCAACTCTCACGTGCAATTATCATATTTCTCTTGTTTTCAAGTTTTCAAAGTCAGTCTCTAAGTCACAACGCACGTATTGCGAAAGTTACAGGTTGTATTCAAACGCCCGGATACTTCCTCAGTTAACTGCCAACACTCTCACCTCTTCGGTGAAAACCGTCACAGAAGCATCCATAAATTTTCATTTTCTATTTCATAAGTGAAATATTTAGAAAACTGTCTCATTCGTACGATTAACGGTTTTTAAATGAACCTACGGTGATTGCCATCCGATAAATCCATCCACGATGGCCCAATAAATTAGTCAAAGAGTCCAATAAATCCCCGGCAATTAGTGACAAATTGTGTATTAATTTCTACCGGGAAAAAACCGTAAATTTGAAATCATCAGCGCAAAATTTTCACGATAATGCGTGAAATTGAACAGTCCCCTGCGGCCAAAATACTTCAAAATCAACCGAGCAAAACGCCACCGCACTAATTGCAAATGCGCAAATGTAAAGCAGTTACATAACGTTATTTTTTTTCGAGGTAATCTGGCCAGTGAAAACTCGGTGCTGTTGACTAGGCGATGGGAGGAGAAAAATGAAGAATGTCACATGAGTAAAATCGCCCGGTTTTACCAGTTTGACAGACGTTCCTTCACTCATTTGCCTGCCCACAGTATGTTGGCCACAACTATTGCATTTATTCACGTAGTGATACGCAATTGTAACCGAGAAGAGGGGAAAGCGTGAATATTTTAATTTACACGCTTGAAAATGTAACATAATGTGTAGTCAATAGCTTCAGAGACATGAAACAATTCGAGTTAAGTAAACAAGGGAAAGAGAATGAAGAAAACAATTATTGGCCAACAATAGAATCCACACCTCCGTCGTGTTACATTACCTTTTTCCGCTCGTTATTTTTTTTTTTCATTTTATAATATTTTTTCTTCACTACCCAGTGCAATCATATAAATCACCTTCCAACAATCCATGATTTTCGAGGCAATGTGAACCTTTTGCTCTTTTACGATAACACTGATAAATTGAGGGCCATTATGTGGTTTACCAAATGTTGCACAATGGACTACGTCAGAATGGCGTTCATCATTGTCTTGCGGTTGCTGTACAATTCTGTTGTGTTCTTGAATGAATGAATAAAAATGGCTGGTTTTATAATAAATCTCAGTGGGAGATGGAGGAATCTGATTCATGCTGGATTATCGAGCTTTTCAATAGGGGAATTGAGGGAGGAGAGAGTTTCTTGGCATTTCCGTTGGCTCAAGGATGATAATGAACATCTTGAGTGTAGCCTCGTACTCATTATCTTTAGTATCCCATGAATAATTCGATGTTTTTCGTTGTAACGGTTGTTCTTGAATGGAACTGCCAGCTGGAGGATGAGCTGATGCTGCGGTGAGGGGAGAACAATTTATTGACAGCGGTTTCTCAAGGGAGGGGGGGGGGGAATTATGGAGACATTTTTGACTGTTTTGCCATTATCTCGTTTGACTTGGTAGAGAAAAGTTCTAGTGGATTTCTATTGGAGTTTCTATTCGTTTTTGGATAATTCTATTGAAATGTTGAATAGAAAATATTCTACGGAAAAAGTCGGCAGAATTTGATTTTTCTGTGCTACTTTGTCTATTGGGATATTTTCTAGAGAATTTCCTAGGCTCAAATTTTTTTTTGTTCGATTTTCTTGATGAAAAGAAGAGAAAAATAGAATGGAAAAACTTAGAAAATTTGAGCCGCGGGAATTCTATAAATAATATCTCAATAGAATCAGCCATAAACTAATAGAAAGTTCAATCTGTTAGGTTTTTCTATTAAATTTTTTCGTGGGTGATTGCTTACTTCAAACGAGAAAAAGAAGGGAAAACACTTAAGAATCTTATGGCAACGACTTTTTTTAGTTTTTTGACTCGTTTGGATTAAATACTCTGTTAGAAAATTACTCCCGAGATTTTAAGGAAAAAATTGTCAATTTTTAACGACTCATTCAAGTGAAATTTTCATATAATTTATTGTCGCAAAATTCCGCTAATGGCAATGGAAAATATTGAAAATTGCTTAATTCAGACAACAATTCTTTTGAATGTTCAATCTATTGAAAATTCAATTGAATGTGATGATTAATTTTCACGATGAGTTTGCGGATTTTAGCTGGCATTGAAATATCAATGATCGCCTAACATGTTAAACCCAATTTCCTTGAGTTTTCAAGCTGAATAAGAGGTTCCATTAACGCTTGACAACATTGAGAATTAAAACGCAGCTATTGGTTAAATTTTGAAAATTTTCCAACACCGTAGAACCACTTATTTGAAAATTTTCCATTCATTTCAATAATATTTCAGTTAAAAATTAATGGACTGACATATTTATGTTAATGAACATGATTTAATTATACAAAATGAATAATGCATTCATTCCAGACAGAAGATTAATTATTAAATCTTAATAAATTCATTCTCTTTGCTGCCTAAACAATGATTTCATTCAGATCAAGGACACATTTGTTCATTTAAAAATCGAGTTAAAGTATGAATGCATTGTTTCGTCGACTAAAATAAATTTATTTAATTCACAGAAACAATTTTTGCAATTGCAATATCTTTATAGAATAAATTGCAGTAAAAAATGAAAACACGTATGAAAAAATTTAATAGAAATATCTAGCGAATTCCCTAGATTTTTCTATCAATTTTTTTCGTGCGTGACTCTATTGATGTTTTCCATTAAATATTAAAAAATGTATATATATTCATTTGCCAAAACTGCGGAACTGCTCACTGAGAGAAAAATGAACAAGTTCTCAAACAAGTCTTGCATGGGCCAAAAAAATTACTAGTGTAAAATTACTAAAAAATCTTGTTTGATCCGAATTTGGACAAACAAGATATTTTTTCTCTCACTGTTCAATAAAATCGTTTTTCTATTAGAATTCTTCTCCCTGAAAAAACAGATTCATTTTACGTAAATACTTTCTGACATATCACAAGAATAAACTAACATCTTCTTATTAACGACTCCACCATCCCCTCGTTGAAGAATAATCTTCTCACTTAATATTAAAAATAATAATTTAGCCGCGTTGAATCCCCATCATTAGATACATAACTCACCAATTACGCATCCAGTTTCCTAACGAAACAGCAATTCCAGATACGAAAGATAGGCTTTGACCTAGAGAAAAATCTTGATTTTCAGGAAAGGTGTCATTATTCCCCCCAGAAGCCCGCACAGAGGCTGATAACCATTGATGACATAAAAGGATGCCCCGAGTGTTGGAATTATGACAATTACCTGACTTATACCTCCCATGATGTTAGATTTCTTCAATAGTTTAGCATAACCAGCTACTGATTTAATGAGAAGCCAATCGCCGATAACCGCTGGTTAGGCTGAAAGAGAGTCTACGGGGATAGACGTAGACGTAATGACCACGTGCCAGGCAACCGGGAAATTATTGCATATGCACCAAGTTTGGTCGAAGCAAACGAGACAAAAAGAATATCACAAGCGTTGGAGGTTCCAACCACTAAAACAGGCCGGAATAGCGGATCAGTGCACATGTAATGCTGCCTACATGTGAATCCATAAAACATGTTCACTCATGATAGGTTCGATGCATATGACGAGTGAATAGAAAACACATATGTTTATTAAGGGGTTTGTTATACTCAAGGCTTTTCATAGCCTTCTATGAGTGTATTTCCTACGAGGTAACAACTACTTGCTCCCACGTTTAATTTCGTAACGCTAATTCTATGGTTTTACGCCAACGTGGGTGTCAATTCTCGCCCAAATGAAGAAGTAAAAACAAAAGCAAGGTAATTATTTTTTAAATTCAGTGGAATGCGTATGAAAAAATTTATGGGGATTCCCATAGTGAAATTCTGTTGGATAATTTGAAAATTTCGGAGGTTTTGCTTGAGATTTTTTAAATAGAAATTTTCAGTAGATGATCTTTCATAAAAAATTTAAGGATTTTCTTCATCAGTTGTGCGTAACGTGGAGTTCCACAAATTGTGATAAAAAATA